CACCCAAGAATGCAGTTATGACATCACTTAGGTACAGCTCTAGAATCCCAATGAAGTCCATGTAGGCCAGTGGATGTGAATAGTGCTACTCGTGGTCAGTTGGTTCTAGATGTCAGGTAAGAAAATAATAGACTTCTGCTATGGACACAAGGTTATGTGACTGTTTACCAATCTGTAGCTAGCAAAGGTGGGGTGGTTCCTTACAAGTGCCTACAAAAACACTTCTTGGGCTTCCTACCCAGTAATAGGGTGACATGAAAGCCTTCTTCTAAGTAATAGGGTGACATGAAAGCCTTCTAAGTAATAGGGTGACATGAAAGCCTTCTAAGTAATAGGGTGACATGAAAGCCTTCTAAGTAATAGGGTGACATGAAAGCCTTCTAAGTAATAGGGTGACATCAAAGCCGCCTTCTAAGTAATGTGGTGACATTAAAGCCGCCTTCTAAGTAATAGGGTGACATTAAAGCCGCCTTCTAAGTAATAGGGTGACATTAAAGCTTTATTCTAAAATGTTAACATTGAATGTCTCGCTTCCTTATTTGCAAAACATAATTGGAAAACGAAACTTTCATTGGTGTATTTAACAGACTAAAAGGGAGCAAAGAGGAGACGCTCTCTGTTGGGGGTTATATACAATTTAAAGTGTTTTATAATAAAACACAAATGCCACCAAGAAAGGTGCCTCCGGGGGGTGGTTACCTATGGGGTTAGTGCATTGTAGATGTCAAAATTATTCATGAAAATCTAAATAAAACAAAAACCATTCACCTGTAAAAATGACAATATTGTCACAAACACTTCCCCTGTTCACCTCACAATTCTGGCTGCATAATCTCTGATTAAATGAGACCTATGGCCCAACTTTTTTTGGCTTTAGTTCTCTTTAGGGTCACAGGAGGACATATACTATGTGACCCAAAACTTAGCATATAGCAGGCTTCTGTCCACTACATGCTGACAGCGCAGAGCAACGCTGCAGCCAGGATGGATCCTGACAATAGTGTCTAGAGCAGGGGTAGGGAACCTTGGCACCCCCCCCCCCCCCCATGAAACGACACATCCCATGATGCACCTGTCTCTGGGAGTCGGGGCTGTGAGACTTGCAATGCCTCATGGGATTTGTAGTTTCACCACAGCTGGAGATTCCCCGCCCCTGGTCTAGAGGAAGACCTAGCTGTGCCCACCCTATCCCCTGTCTGTCCCTCCAGTCAGCTCTGGAGTATCAGAGAGGTAAGGGAGGGGGGAATCCCTGCAGGGGGGAGGTGACCGACAGTCACTGCTCTCTGCAGGGAGAAGATCAGGAACTCTGAGATCAGCAGATGTGATTACTCAGTTCTCGAACTATACAGCGGCAGTGTCACACGTCGGCTCTAATTATGGGAATAAGTGTATTTCACTCCCCATAATTCTCATTTAACTGATGGCACTGAAAGTCTGGAACTTAGGACCTTCATCCAAATTCATAAGACAGTAAACTCCCCATTATCCAGCATTCAAGCAACTGGCAAAAAAAAAATCTAGGACATAATGTGTCTTCATTATTTTTTTTGCCGGTGGCTTCACGCAGACTAAACAATTGTCGGTTCCTTGCTGTACGCTAAAAATTAGCAACTAAATGCTTTGTTTACATCTTGCTACCGGCTGGTGACTAGATTCCACGGTCGGCAGCAGAATGTAAACAATGTAGAGCCAGCTGTGCCCGCCCCCTCCCCATCCGTTCTACCCATCAGCGCTGGAGGATCGGGGAGAGGGGGGGATCCCCAGGCCAGCCTTCGGTCCCTGAGTGCATCAAAGAGCCTTGGCCTCCCAGGACCCGGTTGCCGGTTCACTGGCTTTCCTTCCTTGGACCACTTTTGGTTGGTCCTGACCACTGCAGACCGGGAACATACCACAAGAGTTGCAGTTTTGGAGTTGCTCTGACCCAGTCGTCTCGGCATCACAATGTGGTCCGTGTCAAAGTCGCTCATATCCTTACACTTGCCCATTTTTTCTGCTTCCATCATATCAACTTCAGGGACAAATGTTCACTTGCTGCCTAATATATCCCCCAACTTCCAGGTGCCATTGTAATAAGATATTGTTACTCACGTCATCGCTCAGTGGTCAGAATGTTACTGCTGATCATTGTATGTGTACAGAGGATTGTATGGACACTATAAGCAGATGTTCACATGTAAACGCAAGAAATTAGGTTTACATAGGCACATATATGGGTGCAAGTTTCCAAATGCAAAACGTTTGCGTTCAGGAACTTACAAGTGAGGTGAACCTTTGGTTATAGATCTGGGCAGCCTCCCCATATCAGAGAGCTGCAAGTCATTGGATCTCATGGGATTACATGGGTAGTGTTTGGCGGAAAAGCCAATTGTAGTTAGTGATCTCCCTCCTATATACAAGCTTTTGGCTGACCACTGCAGTGTCTGTATATACAGGTGAAACTCGAATAATTAGAATATCGTGCAAAGTTCATTTATTTCACTAATGCAACTTAAAAGGTGAAACTAATATATGAGATAGACTCATTACATGCAAAGCAAGATAATTCAAGCCGTGATTTGTCATCATTGTGATGATTATGGCTTACAGCTCATGAAAACCCCAAGAACCCCAAATCCACAACCTCAAAAAAGTAGATTATTACATGCAATCAATAAAACAAGGATTGTACATAGAACAATATCGGACCTCTGAAAAGTACAAGCATGCATATGTACTCAGTACTTGGTTTGGGCCCCTTTTGCAGCACTTACTGCAATTACTTTTGCACGATATTCTAATTATTCGAGTTTCACCTGTAGCTTCCCCTTCCTCTGGGAATCTGCGAAACATTATCCTTGTGGGACGTAAATGAGAGCAGAATATCAGCTATCAGACTTCCCGTACGGAGAGCTATGTCAATTCCAAGGGCTTCATGTAGTAAACTTTCCTATACTGGTCAGTGCTACCTAGGTACGCTACTGCCGAGTGAATGGGATCAGCCTGAAGGTTACAAACATTAGCTGTGTCCACAATAATAACCCACGCCAATTAATGAGAGGCACACTGAAATCAAGTTTGATCAAAAATGTTTTATTCATTGCCATTTCGATAAAATAGGAAAATAAAAATCATTTATATAAATACATATTTACACAATCACAAACATGTGAACATTTTTCAGGCACCATTTCTCATGAGCTGCATAGAGAAAACAATATCCAATCTTGTGACAGTTCACAAACCGAATAACAAAATAAAAGACTCGGCTATGGATGAACTTAAAGGAAAACTCCACTCTAAAAAAACAACGCATATATATATATTATATGAAGATAGGTAGTTAGCCATGTGGCTTTAATACCAAAGCTACTTGAATAGGCTGCCATTCCAGTGAACAAGTCACTTTGCCTGCATGAGCAAAGCACAGGTTCACATTAAGGTCCCATGTCAGATACCATATCAGGCCTGTGGGAGAGCCTATGGCTTCATTATAACCACCTGAGCAATCTTAGTGATGTAAGAAGTAAAGGAACAGCATCGGAATTCCTGTAGGCTGGATCCACCCCAAATGCATTGGGGCTGCACTGGCTGTTTATTCCATCGCTGCCCCAACACAAGACAAGGCGATGTTACTTGTGACATTTCAATAAAGTTCTATAAAAGAAAAAAAGTAAACAGTACAATGTGCCGGGCAACACACCAGCAAAAAACATCTATTTGAGGTTCAGCGTTCTTTTAATGTTTTCTTTTTGTCAGGATTGTCTTTTCTTACTGGTTGGAGTATGATTGAAAGCTAAATGCGTTCATCAAACTGCCAAGTATATAAGACAGAAATGTGACTAGAGAATATAGACCCGGCTATCTCGCTAAAGGTCCATCAAGTCCTAAACCTGTATATACTCAATCTAACCTCCTCTGTAGTATTGATCACACAGCACCAATAAACCACCAATACAATTCTACTGCCCTGAACTGCCATTCAAATAATAAAATGTTTTGTTTTTTTCTAATGGATTCTAACAACAAGACTGTAAACCAAACTTTGTGGGCGGCTGTAAACAAGGTCACACTCTTCCCAAATGTAAAGTTCAACATAAAACGTACATAGAATAAAAAACATCATAACAGCATAAAAACTGATTAACAATAAGATTTTCAATGTCCAGCCAGAGAAATCCGGAATAAACTCTGTAAGTGATCTGTAAAATCTGAAAACACTTTATACGGCAAATGAATAGTAAAAACTGCGCAAAGTAAAATATTGTATTTCTGAATATTAAAAGTGAGAGAAAAACAAAAACATCATTGTGTGACTAAACACATCCAGAACAAAAATAACTTAGTCTGAGCTGACCCTTCAAAGTGAAACTGGAGTCAAAACTTGTTGTTTTAGTTTGGAATAGTGGAGAGGGATTACAGCATCTGTCAGGTTTTTATTGCTGTGTCCCAGGAAGTGAGAGGAAATCCCTGCAGGGTCACCAGAACTAGTGTACCTATTCCTGTCCTGGTGACAGCCCAAAGTTTGGGATTCTCTTTCACTTCCAGTGATAATAGTCACCAGTAGTCATGTGTGGGGGTTTGGTCTGGAGTTCACCCAAGCCTACACACAACTGTGACTGCCTCACCCCATTCCCAGCTCAGTCAGTTGTGGCCTGGGCATGCCCCCGCAGCTACATGTCGGCTTGGGTGAGCCCCCACACATCACTACTAGTGACTTCATGAAAGGAAACCAACAGCGCTGCTTGTGGTGTGTACAAGACCTAATAGTGCTTCATCTACACTCAATACATTCTGCAATCTAGGAATTTGTTTCAGGTAAAAGCATCTACAACCCGAGCACATTTCACACACAAACGTTCTTACTCTCTTAGTGATCACATCCCTGTGTAAAGCCGGTGAGAGGTTTGCTGGCTACCTTCTGCTCGCTGTACCTAATACCACATATTTTACCGGAAAGAATTCTGTGGAGTCCAGAACATTTAGGAGCGGATGACAGGTTTCCATTTGCGATGACAGCCTATTGTTTACATAGTTCTAACATTCCAATAGCCGATCATCTGTTTCGTATGAGCGAGGCGACATATATCCACACGGAGAAGATGTTCTTGGGATAGGGGTGAACATACACAGCCAGAGCGAACTCCACATTGGGCACTACGTTGTTGTGGACTCCGGTGCTGTAGACGGCCTCTATGAGAGGGGTCACTTCTGAGAAGGCCATGTTGATCGGGAAGCCAGTAAACTGAAAGAAAAATGTTATCAGATTATTACATAATACAGCTGTTCTGTCTCTGTATGGAGTGAGGACCACAGCAATGGTGGAGGTCCTACAACTCTGAACACTCTCCCTCTCCATATACAGGAAGAGGATACGAGTCAAAGACTCCACTATACTAGGCCAGACCTCAAGTATTACTATAATGCACAGCAAGGATGATCTGGAGGCAGCCATTTTGTGCAGTGACCGAGGAGACCATATTAGGTTGTGTCACTAAAGCTACATTATCCAGAATATATGAATATTCAATCCCTAAAATGCAGCCTCACTGAGTACATTTAGAGTATATGTACACTGTTCAGTATGTCCATGTGTGTAATAAGTCAAGAAAATGTTCCCACCTTGGCTGCCAACATATGTTAATGTATGGCATAAGTGCACACAAGGTCTTAGGTAAAGCCTCAGATGGAAGCCACCAGCCCAGTCCAGAACCAGTGACATCACTCACAGTGAATATAAAGGCTTAGCTTTAATATCCTGGAACTAGCAGGTGGTGCAAGAATCAGACACCATATAGGGAATCTTGTAGGATAGACATATGGACATTACAACCGCTGATGTGTTTTTGAAGAAGCAAGGTCCATGGCTGCCATCGCTATCTTAGCAAGTCACTGACCCTGCATAACCATTCCAACACCTAATAGGTTCATGCTTATTCCAGGTCAGCAAGTCAACAACTAGTTAAGTAATGATGAGAATTAGGGCTGCACCAAAATGTTGGCCCCCTGTGAACACCCAGTGTGTCACAGGAAGCTGGGCTCTCCTTTTGCACCACCCCACTCAGCCTCCTCCGATCGGGATGGATAGTGGTGTGGGGGTGGAGACAGCCATGCGCTGCCACAGGAGCCCGGGTCGGCGGTGAGGGGGAGGAGTCAGCTGTCAAAATAGACCAAGCGCTCTTCCCCGCACCGCCGGCTCAGCTGTGACAGCAAGTCAGGATAGAGAGCGGTACAAACATTCAGGTACTGCTTATAAATAACTGCACATAGTATGAGTTACTATGTACCAGTTAAGAATGGGAAGTGCTCTACATCACTTCCTATTCCTTCATGATTGTGGTTATAGTAAACACACTGTCTCCACAAGTTATGAATAAACAGGAACTCTCAGTATAGAGAATTCCTGTTCATTGATAACAGGGGCTGCAGAAACAAGAGATTATGGACTCTGTGTCCTCAATCTCTTTTCCTATTTTAAAAAGGAAATATCAGGGGTCTGTTTATACCCTCAATATTTTCCAGAAGCCACCCAACAGTAAAGTAAAAAAAGAAAAATATTTAATAAAAATAAAATATAAAATAAAAATAAAAAGTTTATAAAACATAGAAAAATTAAAAAGGTTAGAAAAAGAACTTTGTTTTGGGTGCGGCCTGACATTTTTTGAATTTTCGGTTTAAACATTTTAATTTTGGTGCACCGCTAATGAGAATGGCAGCCCTGGAAGTTGCTTCTTGAAATACAAATCAGCGCTGGCAGCTACCATATTTCTGTCCAGCCACCACAGCTCACCCTGTAATCTCCCAGCTGTCTCTGCAGTTCTGCCCGGTGGTCCTCCTCTACATCTTTGCCGTAGTTCTGCTCCAGTAATGGCAGGAAGTGTCTCAGGGTAGATGTGCAGTATCGATTCCAGCGGGTAGGATGTCTCGGCCTCCATTCCATAATCTTCTCTTTCAGCAGTTTCTCAATCCTGTTGTTAAGGGAGAAGTCAGAAAATCACCAATGTTGCATACAGTAATTGGCCAATATATTCCATTACAAAGTTTTGTACAGCACTCTCATTGCATCTGACTCACTTTTAAACCAAATATTCACCGATGGGTCCATCCTGTGCGGACAATAGTAAACTCAGCACCTACTGGATTCCTGTACCTTGTGGGAACTTTAGTGGTGAGATTTCCTCTCCATAGTTTCCAGCTCTGTCTCCCAACCAACCCCGGAGTCTTATCACTATATGTAATGTGGTAGGAACGGAAAACCAACCATACCAACCAGCCACTCTGAAGCCATAATTTGTTCATGGCTTCAGAGTGGCCACGTACTCCACGCAGAGCCGTGCTTGCATTTGAAAATGGCAGGTGAGCAATATTAAGTGTCTACTACCTTACAGTCTAACATGGTCTGAGTATGTATTTCCTTTTACCTGTCTTGAAGTTCCGATGCAGCAGTCTTCTCTGTGCACTGATATATTAGTTCTTCGGGCTAGAAGATACAAAAACATACATAAATATCCCACCTCAACCTAACCACTGAACCATCACATTCTCAAATAATTCATCCCCACACAGCCACCTCCTCATGTATCACTTGCCCCTCCTCTTTCAGATTGTAAGCCCTCACGGGCAGGACCCTCCTTACCATCTTGTCTTGAATTGTATTGTGATTGTAATGTCTTCCTTATATTGTATAGCGCTGCGCAAACTGTTGTCGCTATATAAATCCTGTATAATAATAATAATATGTACACATTTTATTCAATTGCTAATCCCTCCCCATTCTGGAAAGTCTATTTCAAAGAAAACCTGTTGGGCATTTTAAACTTTCAAAAGCAATAGTCCTGCCAAAGGCCTTGTTTATATGGGTGGCAAAAGGGCAGCAAGTGCAGATGGTTATTTACACCCACCTAAAACTTAACATGGTGGCCATAATGTTTTCTCCACAAGCCACGGCCATGATGCTTTCTCTCACGTCTGTGGCAAGTTTTATACAGCACGTCATGTCTGGTAGGTGATGCCGCTTACCAGACACAACCACTGCAGTGAATGGAACTGCCTATAAATCAGTGACAGTCTAAATGTTGAAGTTCCTGCTCTATAAATACCTGCACACTGGTCAGTCCTGGATTTGGATAGCTTCGGGAGAAAAAGGCTTTCCATTGGTTGGGCCGCCCTGTATCAAAACTTATGCTCATTGGAGAATCATACTGATGTATATTAAACCAGATCTAAAAGGAAACAACAAACCCAAAAAAACTGATTACCACATCAACATAACAGAGGAAGCATTAAAGTACAGGTAATAAAGGTTCCTTCAATACTTTGTACTGAGGACCCGGCATACAGAAAATAAAATGCTATCTATATATGCAAGGCGGGTCATACATCAGAGAAAGTGCGAACCGCTTAGGACCTCTATCAGGTTTTTGTGACTCCATTTTTGAGATGTTCCCCCATTTGCCTTATTGACCCCCCTGTGACACAAGGACGAGAAATGAGGGGAAGGCACAGACAGTAATAAAATCCTGACCAAGGTTCTAACCTTTCCCTGCGGTACTAAAAATAGGATTTTGTTCTTACCATAAAATCTACCGAGGGACAGAGCGCTGAAGAATGTGAGACATAGTTTAGTGTCCATCTGTCCTAGAGGCAGCGGAAGCACCCTATGTCTCACATTCTTCAGAGCTTGTCCCTCAATGGACGATAGAGAAAATAGGATTTTGTTCTTACTGTAAAATCGGTTTCTCTGAGTCAATTGAAGGAAACAGCTCTGAAGAATCTGAGATGTAGGGTTATACCGCCGCCTCTAGGAGAAATGGACACTAAGCAAAGCTACTTCTCAGATTCTTTAGAGCCGTGTCCCTCAATGGACAATAGAGAACATGTGCTTTTATTGCTATGTCTGCTGGCATCTTGAGAGACTTCCTATCACTTTCTGACCATTTGGTTCCCTGCCACCAGGACAGGAAGTGAGAGGAAATGATTCCAAAATTGACATAGACAGCAATAAAAACCTGTAAGAGGTTCTAAACCTTCCCTACACTATTTTGGGGTTTTAACATCTAATAAAATTATCTAATAATAATAAAAAATAATATGTAAACCACTTTCAGTAAACCTCCAAGAGAACAACATTTGTCATTTTCCCCGGGGGAATAGATCAGTTTTTACTATACCATATACATAATATAGTGCCAGGACGCAGCTCTGTAATAAGTAGCCCTGACTTCATTACATGATTCAGAGACCAGAGAAGCAGGGAGTCGGCTTGGCACTTTGGGTGAGGATAACTTTGTTTTTTTTAGCGCACCGACAAAAATGAGCTGTTAACCCTTGCAGTGTATAGGGTAGCCCCACTGTAAGGGTTTAAGTGAAATTAAAGGCAAAACTTTTTTCCCTCCCCGCAATGTTAGTGTCAGCACTTACCTTAAATGATGTCTCTTTTTCCGATCTTCCTCTTCTTTTCTGAAGTTTTCAGCCTTCTCTCCAGCGGTGCACTCCGATCCAGCGCTGACTGCTCTGTCCCTCCGATCCAGCAGTGTCTGCATGCGGGTGCATGCGTCCATAGACTTACCTTGCGTCCCTCATCGTGTCCCTGCCGAAAATGAGAACTGCGCATGCGCGCGCCCCAAGATCCTTTGCGGCCGCTCGAGAAATTTCTCATTTTCGAACGGGACCGCGCACGGAACGCAGGGTAAGTTTAAAGTGCTGTTTGAGCGGTTTTTGTTTTTTAAAAAAAACTTTTTGCATATATCTACTGCTTGCTAGCAGTAGACATATGCAAAAAAACTGGAGGGTTTAAATATCCTTTAAGAAAATTGTCCCCCAGGGTTCTTCTTTAAACGTCGATTCCACTTCTTACTAATACCCATTCCTAAATGGTTTTCTTTAAGACCAAACTGTGACCTGGCCTGTGATTACTCTACGGGTCTCGCCCATAAAAGTTTCTGCACAATGAACTGTTGTTTTGCCCATAGCAACCAATAACATTCCCATTTCCATTCTGCCGGTGCAAATTAGAAAATGAAAGGTGTAAGCCAATTCATTTCTGGTCAACACAGACAGCTACACCCTGGGTAGAAACGCCTGTCCCTTGCCAGTATGCTGGAGAGAAGGATCCTTGCTCTCTGTGTGGAAGCAGTTGTCTCTCTGCAGTGGTCCAAGAACCTCCTGCTGAGTCCGACCTACAGCTCTGCAATCGGTATAATGAATACTCCCTGCTGATAGGAGAGCTCTAACTCTGACTTAACAGGGGGCGTGTCAGATGTTTGCAGAGACACCGCTGCTTCCACACAGAAAGCATGGGTCCTTATCTGCAGCATGTTGGTAGTGGAAAGGCTTTTCTACACTGTAGCAGCTTTTTAAAGAAAACGGATTGTAAAGCTGGCCATTTTTTTTGGTTCAAGACGCGGGCTGAGCGAACAATATAGAACAGATTCCTCAATCAACACTTACGAGCATTGATCATGGAATCTTCTGCTGTCTTTATCCGTACAAAGCTGGCAGCTTATTGGCTGCCGGCTCTGTTCTTACGAAAACATTTCTGACCAGCTCCCTCAATCAGCTGATCAAGGGATGTCGGCCGAAAGGGTGCAGACAGTGGCAACCACTGTGCAATTTTCGGCTGGTTCATCAAGAACTGGCCAAAATTCACACAGTGTATGGCCACCTTAAGACTTTGTACACCTTTTGTGCTGATGCACCTGGAATATATTTAGCTGATTTAAATGGAAAGTTTAGTTGGGCAATAAACAAGGGTTGTATAAATGATACAAGAAGACATCTGAACAAACGGTGCCACGCATAAGGTCCTGGTCAGAAGAGCTTACAGTCTGAGCCACTTCACAAGCAATAGAACAGAATGTCCATCTGTGCATACTTACATTGTCTGCATTGATGAGACAGCCGACACTCTGCAGTGGACAGAAGGTGTCATACTGACCATAGAAGCAGCCATTGCTTGGATTCCATATGATGTACTGGTTCTGCTCCAGTGTTAGTACATACACAGTGGGACCCTTTCAAAACAAAGAGAAGTTCTGTTTTAACAACGAACATGAGAGATTTTGTATACTAGAGTAACATGTTATAATGACTATATGAGATCCAAATTAAACCCAGAACACAGTAATAAGCCATTATAGGAGCAGCAGATCTGTATCTTGTTTCTGAATGAACTGTCTGACAGAACAGCCAACGATCCGCATCAGATCATACCTCCAAAAACCTGCCTAGAATGTGTAATACTAGAGAAGTCATCTTTGCTTGTACTCTCTCGAACATCAGTAATACACTCCACTGACTGCAATGTTACAAGGCTTACCTCTGGTATGGCATTTCCAATGATAAGCCACGCCTTCTTCCCCATGGCCAGGAAATAATTGCACAGCAGAACTGCATGTTCTTCTTCATCGCCAGCTAAGAGGTCAAGGAATTGCTTTGAAGGAAAAAAAGAAAAGTCTACATTAATATGTATTGCTCTGGAGAAAATGGTAATAACTCCCATCCTGTGCAACACACAATCATAAGACCATCTGTAAAAGCGTGGTGGGTTCAGAGACGAGCTGGATGACTCCACACATGCTCATTTTTTAGTACAATATGGGGGATAGGGATGTTCAGATACCAAGTACTGTACCCGGTACAACTACAAGTAAAGATACTTTTCCAGCTCCTAGACTAGAGAAAAATTCAAAGGTTAAGAGGCAGCTGTCATTTTTAAGGAGCATTGGCTGCGGAGCTCCTGGGATTTGTGCATCTCTATTTTAATGTGTGATTTAAAAAAAAATAAAAAAATATATATATATAAGTGATGCACCGAGACCAAGTACAAGTACTGACACTTGTCCAAGTCCTCACCGATACGAGTACTGATACATTTTTGTTTAGAGTCATGTGACAGTTTTTCTAAAACAATACAGACTAATGATTTGAGGACAGTGGTGGAGCCCCGGAGCCAGGTCCCAGCTGCAACGGCTGCAACCCTGGTAGTTCTCATGAAAATCCCAAGTATCTGCACCGGTATCTGAACATCCCTAATGGGGGAGTTAGTCATATTTGTGTGGGGCTACTGGTTCTGCTAGTCACAGACCATCAGAGTTTGGACTTGCATAGCAGTACAACAGCTGAAACCATTACCCTCATTTTTGGATCCATAACTCCGCATGTGAAAAATTCATTCTTAGAAGGAATTGAACGCATTCGTAAAGTTACCCTGTGGCCAAGGAACACACATTGAAGTATTGTAACAAGCAGTAAATAAAAACTTTAAAACAAGCCCTTACCGACCTCTGGAGTAACAGAGCATCTGGAGCAATGAATCCTCAAAGTTCTCACCTGAAGCACTAAACTCAATCCTTAAGCCAGCTCGGGTCACCCCTCTTTTGCTCCCAGCAATGATTTGGCAGCCCTCTGGACTTCTAATCTCCTACGTAAATATCGAGCAGGAACTCTGGGAAGGGGGCGGGGGTAGCTGCTGAGAGAATTATTTCAGTGCTTCTGCTGTGAACATCGTGGGATGAACTGCTCCACAGTGCTTGCAACTACAGAGGTCAGTGAGCACTTGTTTTCAAGCTCCTTTACTGCTTGTTTAACGTAAATACTGAAATGCCCCTAACCTGGCCACAGCTTCACTTTAAGCGGAACCTGTCTAGAAAGAAATATGAGTTGTGATTACTGATGATTGTTAGATGTGCAGGGCTCCAGGGTTATCATACTCATTCTTGTTTCACCTCTGACCCAGAATCAGAGTACGTATGATATTTACATGCTTGTTCCAGGTCACCAATTTGATAACATAACAGCCCCAGAGAAAGCGTGACATATATTGGATTGTCCAATGATCTAATCCTCTGTTTCTAGAAGGTCAGATCCTACTGTGTATGGCCAGTTTGAAGCCTTAGGGGCAAACCTTTCATACAGATTTAAGTTCTGAGGATCCTTGAAGCAATCATTCAGCTCTTATAGGAATTTTGTGTTCTGCATGTATTGTTCATGGATTATTCCCTTTCCCATTGAAAACGAGATGACTAAAATTTGGGTACAAAAGATATCCCAGTATGCCCAATCTGATGCTTGAACTGAACACAATACTCACACTGACCACATCGTGTATGGCCTCCCTATCAGCACTGCTGTCTAGTAAAGGGTTAATCATACATGCCATGTGTACTCACATCTGACGTGCTCCATAAATTACAAACCCCTGCGAATGACACATTGTCCGGCAGGAAGGGTATAAGGGAGACATAACGAGCCACCAGTTCCTAAGGGCAGAAAACAGAAAACGTCTAGTACTTCACACAAGCAGCACAATGTGTAAATACTCATCAATATGAACCTTTCCAGAAATAAACATGGAGGCTGCCATGGCTGACAATGCTAGTTACCTGGCCATTATGCTGACCCTCTGACGTCCATTACTGACCAGAATGTAGAATAAGAAAGTAAGAAGTCCTTATCTACATACTTGTTCTAGTGCAGAGACGCAAAGTATTGAAGCTATTGTTTCACAATGACAGCTTGTATGACAGAATGAGGAGTCATCAATGGCCGCCTTCACATTCCTCTCACAAGTTGTTTCAACAATTACCATTTCTTTTTGGAATACTCATTTTTAAGGCGAATGCACAGTACAAACCCACCACCTACACAGTTAATAAAAGATTATTGCAACAATCCATACATACATGCCACTATGAGTATATATATTGGTTGCCGCTGAGTTATGACCACACTAGGGGATTATACCTCCAGTCTGTGTGTGACATGTTTAACTCGAGTAACATCTACTCACGGTTCCTTGGTACTCCAACCTGTCAATCTGAATCATTAGGCTGTTATCCACTTGAACTTTTGGCTGATATTTTTCATCATAGCCCAGCATCAAACTTTTCAGGTGATCCTCGAAATTAGGTCCTCCTATATAGACCACGATTTTAGACAGTCCCTGTCTTTGTTTTCAAAAAGGTTTCTCGATCAAATGCAAAGACCCTTTTTCCTCCTGTTATTTAGTTTGTCCATGCCAACTGATCAAATGATCCCCTAGTGTGGTCATAACTCAGCGGCAACCAATATATATACTTACCGGGTCATATACCATATACCTAGCTATATCTTACTTGAATTTCTACAATCAAGATAACATCATATATGTACACCTCCTTCACTCAAAGACATGAACACCCTATAAATTGGACTTAATACCAAGAAATATTGATTTTTGAGTAACACTAGGCAGTTCACATAATTTATTGGATATACAGGTGAAACTCGAAAAATTTGAATATCGTGCAAAGTTAATTTATTTCACTAATGCAACTTAAAAGGTGAAACTAATATATGAGACAGACTCATTACATGCAAAGCAAGATAGTTCAAGCCGTGATTTGTCATAATTGTGATGATTATGGCTTACAGCTCATGAAAACCCCAAATCCACAATCTCAGAAATTTTTGGGCAGTGTGGGCCGGTGCCAAGTCCTGCTGGAAAATGAAGTCAGCATCCATATAGAGCTCGTCTGCGGAAGAAAGCATGAAGTGCTCCAAAATCTCCAGGTAAAAGGATAAGTTGCATTAGTGAAATAAATGAACTTTTGGACGATATTCTAATTTTTCGAGTTTCACCTGTACTTTCCTCATTCATCAAAGCCCCTTTTTTGCTACTCATTTTTCCTTCATTTGAGGACCACCACATGACATTAATTGCGCTGATCAGCTAGCTCCCTGTGTGTTTGAATAGTGGCATGCATGTACAGATTGTTGCAATAATCTTTTATTGACTGTGTAGGTGGTGGGTTTGTACTGTGCATTCGCTTTAAAAATTATTATATATTTGTATTTAATAAAACTTTTTGATACTACCATTTAACTCTCCGACCCTCGTTTCATAGCTGCACTACTACACTAGCTGCACCACCTAGGTTAGAACTAATTGTCTTAATTGTTGCCTCCTCTGAGCAGCTGAGGGTTGTTTGCTAGCCAGTGAGAGAAATCAGGTTATTTCTGACCAATTGAGGGAGTGGAACTCTGGGTACACCTTTTCCTTTTTTCCACCTATACTTGGGCTGACATGCTGAGCTCAGGTTAGGAAGGCAGTAATGTCACCCCAGGGCAGGAAGTGTGTTACGACATTACATGAGAAAGGAGGTGCTTTGTAGTTCCCATGTAGTTCAACATGGGAAGAGTTGATGTCACTTCTTGAGATCTCAGTGCAGCAGAAGCAGAGTGGATAGGACATCATTAGCTCACTAGATTTCTGACAAGATGAATGGGTATTTTTTGCACTTATCTAACAGACAAAACAAAACGCTTTCAATGGTAAATATAACAGACCAAAAGGGAGCAAATATTAGACTTTCATCATGAAAAGCCTTTACTGCTCCTCAGTTTAGAGTTGGCAGTGAATTATATGGCTCTGGAATTACGATTCCCACTCAGACGTTTGTGATACCCAACGTGTGGCGAAATCGTTGTTTACGTACATGTGCATGCCCTACGCATGTGTGTTTTCTCGCATGCAGATGGCGGGGACGGTGGAGTTAGTTTTGTTAATTTATTTTATTGTTTTTTAACACTTTTTTATAGTTACCTTTATTGCTATCACAATGAAGCTAACTAACCCCTACGTGATAGTGTTTGGAAGTGACAGGTTCTCTTTATGGAGACATCAGAGGTCTATTAGACTCCTGATGTCTCCCCTGCCCTCTAAACACAGGATTGTGCCTGATCACCTGTGTAACCGGCACTTCATCCGGCTTCTGACAGCTCTGAAGCAGGAAGCGCTGAGAGCACTTCCTGCTCCGTTGATCACAGAGCAAATCAGGGAACTGCAGTTCCTTGGTGTGCTCCTGCTCTCCATGCTGACACTCTTTGCCCTGGTTCCGGGCTCCCCGGGAACCCAAAAAGCACAGTGGGGGTGGGGTGTGTGGGGGAGGGCAATACTTTCAGAGGCGGAAGGCAGCTTTACAGCCACCCAGATCACTTGTACTTAAAAGCCCTCCACCTGCTGAAACAACTGACAGCAAGGTCATGGCTGCAGCAGCATCTTGGTATAACCCCTTCAAGACCAGGAGGTACAGGTGCGTGCTATGGTCCTGAAGTGGTCAGATACAGATTAAGGCAATAGCAGGCAGTCTCCCCTCCAATATTACTTACTGACGTTGCTTGTACATTATTGGTGTTGGCTTCCAGAAGCTGCTGCGGAGGTTGTAAGGCCTTGATGTATCGAGTGATGAAAACTGTACTTCCGTTAATGTCTGTGACGGTGGTCAGGCACTGCCGGTTGGGGAATTTTACAGCGGCTTCGCTCTGGAACTTCTCCGCAGCCTGCAGTAACTTCTCATCTTCTCTGCTGTCAAACTGAGGCACAGCAGCATACCGCAAATGTTAAAGTCAACGTCTGATCGAAATTTCCACTTCTTAAATATATAACAATGGTGAATGTAGAAAATTCTGCCATTTTGTTACCATCCATAGTTCCAGTGTAATACGATGTGCTAAATAAGAACTGTGTATGTATGATTCAGTTTTCATGGTCCAAGGAACCACATTGTAAGAACCAACACAAGACAAACATAAGGCCTCATTCACACTGCCGCGCATACACACGCGTACGCGCGTATTGTACCATATGCAACATTTGCAAATAAATGGCTCCATACACATAGCCGCATATGGAGCCGTTTATTTGCGTAGCGTATATATGCGCAAAAACAGAATGGAACCAAGATGCGTCTGGGCAGCGTATTTCTGCTTATTTTACGCGTATACGCATGTTTGCGAGTGTATACAGTTCATTAAAATTTCCATTAGGAATGATGCATTCTGGGAATGCACGCATATACGCGCATAGACGCTCGTATATACGCAATATACAATTTTGCTTGCGTTGTGTGTGAATGAGGCCTAAGGCTGAACTCCGAGAAGAGCAAATATTGTCTAAACACAAGAGCCATGTGTGGTCTTACAGGGATCCGGGTGTGCTTTGGGTATTTCTTCCAGATCTGGGCAGTAATGCAGTTAAAGGGCTTGTTCACAGCATCTCCACACCAGATCTGGATGCGTTCCTGCAAATGTGGTTATGTGCGTTTGACGAGTTTTGGTGCTTTTCGGTTTTGCTTAGGTTTTAGGTGAGTTGCAGTGTGTTTGCATTTGTCTGCATTCTAGAACAAAAAAAATGTAGAATGCTGTACTGTAATAAAAGTTCTGATACTGAACGCAATGGTGTGAACTAGCCCGATTTTTACCACTGGAATTAATATTCAGGATTGGTCAAGATAAACAATGTTCTGGTCTGGATCTGGTGTGTACAAGCCCTGAAACTTTGCCTCTGTTCAGGAGCTTCCTGTAATATAGACCGGTCCCTGCTGCTCTCTTTTCTTGTGCAGGGCGACTGGTCTTGTACCCGCCCCCTCCTGTAGTTTTCGGCAGGCAGCCTGTGGTAGGTGGAGCATGCTGAGCTCCTCCCACAGCTCTGCTCTCTGCACAGGCTATGTACAGCCTAGTTAGTGATGGTATCACAGCTACTTTTACTAGGTGATATCTTTGTTTGCAAAGGCATTTGGTGCATACCCCTTGTGGCTATTGAGGAATATATTTAAACAAAGGTTTTCATGCCTGGAGTTCAGCTTTGATTTTATATACTGTAAAAGCTGAGCAAACTTCATGGCATTTATCTTTATAAAGCATTCCTTCCTTCTTCCATCCCTTACTCAACAATCCACTGCACTGTAACCGAATTACTGGTCACAAGTTCATCCTGAAATGAATGACAGGCTGCATTCTGAGGATTATTTTACTCATGATACTCCAGCCCAAAGATTACATAAATTTGAGGTGCGCACCGTTAAGTATGCAGGGCCCAAGAGGCAGTGAATAAATGAATGAAAGAGTGAAAGATATGGAGCAAAAGCTGGCACTGCTGAATGAAAGGCATTATATGACTTGTTATATTACTTTGCATAGCGGTCTATTTACAGAACAATGCAGCCGCATTACATACACACACAGCACAGTCAGTAGGTACCCCATGTAGGAGAACTACCTTTTCCCTGATGGGCTCTCCAGGCACAAGCTGAGGCTCAATGGTAATAAACAGGGTTAGGAAGGAGCCTTGGCTCAGGCTTCGGACCGATTCATAGCCTCCATCGTTTCCCAAGTTGCGCTGTTTGCTGTATCCTAGAAGCACCGGGGGCGTGTCAATCCGGAATGTTCCATCAATCTGTAAATCAGCAGTTACCAAAGACAAAATGTATGATATGAGCCATCTGCTAGGGCTGGTCTCCAAAAAGCAGGTTGTCCCTTTTATAACCTCTCTCTATTAGGTCGAGTCTGCACCTGTCTTCCTTCATTGACAAGTATACACAAGTTGGACCTACTGTATGTTACTATATTAGTGGTATACCTACAGAATTTGAACCATACTTTTTATATTTCATTTTAGTTTGCCTGAATATAATTTGTTATAGTTTTTTTGCATTTGTAGCAGTTGATCAGGAATCATATTTTTATAGGACATCTCCAGGCAAGCCAATAATCTACCCTTGCAGTGGGGCTACGCCTGCACTGCAAGGGCTAAGTGTACATTTTTATCTATGGCCTGGAGTAAAGCAGATTTACTTACCCGATACCCATTTCCCTGGCAGTCAGCGCTCTATTCTGCTCCAGCTGTGGAATGTCCCTTTGTGTCCTCATGTCTAACGTAGGTACATGGAACCTGCATTAGATGATGTCAGTGGTCCTTAGATCTCCAGAGTCCAGGGAAGAAGAGGCTGCAAGGACCAGTCTAGCAACCCGGTGGGAGCCGGCAGGAGTGGGGATCAGGTAAGTAAATCTGCTTTACACCAGCCCCTAGACACGTGCACTTAACCACACCACTGCAGGGGTAGCCCCACAGTAAGGGTCCTTTGTTTGTTTGCCTGGAGATGGGCTTTAACGTTCGAATCAGAAAAACAGCTACCATAGCCCACTGATCACCAATATGCTTTCTTAAAATCACTCCCTGCCTGCTATATCTCCCCCAGCCACGCAACCTTGTAATTTTGGTTGTTCCCATCCACTCGGAGGTGTTCCAGCTCCCACCCCCACCCCTTGTAATCTCCATAACATAAAAAAACATGTTCGGGGACTTGGGACCTCTTTGTGACTGCCGTGGCAGATGTGCAAATTTGGGAACTCTAGCTCAGACCTTCACACAGAGTTTCGGAATGTACTAAACAACACCTGGGATATCTGTTTCAGCTGGACTGGCCCTTTAATAAAAGCAGTTTGAATTAGTCCCAGCTTTCAACAGATCCTCTTTTGGTTATGGTGATGGTACTCCCCCTCCACCACTTTCATAAAACCTCAAACCACCCTAGTTTTATCCTTTGTTCCCCTTCATTTCCTTTGTAGATTTCTAGTTTCTCCAAGACCCGCACTTACTCTGGACTGGAAATAAATTGTAGTAAATGGAATTCTGATAGATCCAAGCCAGTGCCTCTCGACTCGAGTATGAATGCCACTTCCTCTCTCCCGATCATCCTGAAAGAGGCTATGTGTTATTTTACTCCATAAATAATAAAAAATGTAGTCATGGATTGTTATACACCACCATAGGTAAGGGGGCAGAAACCACAAACTTGTGAGAAATGTCACCAGCACACCAAAAATCCATTAAGGATCACGCAATTATTTATTTAAAACTGTGTCAATTAAACAAGCGCTTTCGGGGCCACACACGGTCCCTTCATCAGGCATAGCATTGACCGTCAATGCTATGCCTGATAAGGGGCTCTATGTGGCCCCGAAAGCGCTTGTTTAATTGACACAGTTCTAAATAAATGAATCGGTGATCCTGTGACAATGAAACTGTCACAGGTCGGCTCAGTAGATCGGAAGTGAGCAAATACATACTGGCGCTCGCTCACTTCTCGATCCTGTGCCGGCAGAGAGCCGTGACAGGGGAGGGACTGGATTCCCCCCTCCCCTGTCCGATCCTCTAGCGCTGACTGGCGGAACGGACAGGGGAGGGGGCGGGTACAGCTGGCTCTGCCTCTAGATAGGCAGAGCCAGCTGTCACTCACGCAGCTGGGTGGATCCAGACATAATTGCCGGGATCCGTTCCGGCTGCGGCGTCTCAGTATACCGCGAGCTGTAGCTCGCAGTATACTGAGCTTTGGGTGACGGGAGGACGCTAGTTTGTGTCCTCCTGTTACCCTTAGAAGAACTATGGGGAAAAGCCCTAACCCCATAGTTCTCCTTTAAAGGATTTTTGGTGTGCTGGTGACGTTTTCCACATGATCTACAGCAAGCGACGCCATCTGCAGTCATTCTAAGCACCCTTCCCCAATAGCTGAGACATCTGGTAAGGAGTGCAGCAAGTCTTCTCTATCTTTCATGAGCAAACAAAACTTATGTCATGAACTTTACAACTTACCTCTAAAATATCAAAGCAGACTTCATCAAACACATTGATGAAAATATCGTCTTTCACGGACTGTAAACTGGTTGTGCTATAATCACCATTAGGAGCCCTAGAGAAGAGAAGGAGCCAAATTATCATCCAGGATCATGTACAATAGTCACAAATGGCTCTAAAAATCCAAATACTGTCAAAGTCTACAGCAATCAAAATGCATAATGTCCAATCCCTTTGTTGTGCCATTATTCTTACTGTGTTAGGCATAAAGACCGACTTAAAGGGACTGGGACAGATTCTGTCATCAAATACGAGTCCTGCTACACAAATAACAAGGTGCCACACATGAGGGGGAAGGAAACTCCTACATACCTTTTACAAGTGGGTCTGGTATCATTGGTATCATGCTTTCTTCATCAGCCAAACACAAATAAGAAGGAACCAGAAACTAAGCACCGAGAGTCCTCTCTCTGACTGGATGTCCGTATTTACAAAACTGCAAAGCTCCCCTGACATCTCATACACACACAAGAGCTATTTTTCTATCATCATATCACTCAGAGATCATAGTCTGCCTGTTGTAAAATCATCCTATAAAACAGCATGTCCAAAAAGTTGTTAAAGGAAAACTGAACTCTGAAAGCTGTGCCCAATAAAGGCAGGCAGAGGGTAAAGGACTTGTCACCAATATTTGGCTGTGGTCACCCTGAAGCTGATCTTTCCGCCGTTACTGACCTATCATGGGTTGTTCTGTACTCTGTTTCTGTGTGGAGGGGACCATCTTGGTAGAGGCAGGGCTTTGCTTCCTCATGTCAGATCCTCCAGCAAAAACAGTGAGCAGCTTAGGCCCCGTTCACATTGAGCGATTTATCGCTCGGTAATTCCCGCGCTATCGTGGCAATTTACTGCGCGATATCGCTCTCCAATGCTTCTCAATGGGGCAAAGGGTCCTGCTGTCGCGGATCGTGCGTCGCTACAGCAGGACTCTTTTTGGAGCGGATTTAGCCGCGAGTCAAGCTTGCTCAATGCAAGCATTTGCACGACAAACGCGCGATTTGCAAACCGTTCAATGTGAACGGGGCCTTAATAGTGACACCACATTTCACTCCAAATCTGCTAAGGCTAACAGTCACAGGCAGCAGTGCCTTACTGCCGATATACAGCTATGAGGCTCTAGGCACAAGAGTGGTAACATACCAGGATGTGCACTGCTAGTTTTAAGGAGGAATTCCAGACAAAAAAGGTACATTTATTAGGGCACTGGTCTACATTTTCCCTATAAAAGAAAATGTTAACTTTAATGATGCTGCAACGTAGCTGCAGAAGGTATCATATCTGCCATTGACATGATTTAATTTCCTTGCAGGGACTAGGACAATGACAGTTTGAATGGAATCATGTAATAGACTTTCAATTCACCCAGAGAGTATATGTTTTTTCATTGCTTAGTGGTATATTATTCACTATACATAGGATGTTATGGGCGTCCTACACAACCGTGTTCACTCAGTGTGGCCGAGGTAGGGGTGGCCGGACTATCCAGGGACTGCTTATCTCTGGAGGAACACCATAGAATGGACAAGGTGTTACTGACCTTTCCGATTAACATTTGCCCCTTTGGGATGGCTGTTGGGCCTCTGCTACAGCCATAGGTTTCACATTGTTGCCCAATCCAGCCAAATATAGTCAGATCAGGCTTACTGTCAATGCATTTCTATGGATGCTTTTAGGACTTTTTCTCACAGCAGCATGTTAAAGATGAAACAAAATGGTTGCTGTGGCAAAGTATGTGCTGAGGTAGGGGATTGAAACATCACAAGGTATAGGGAAGCAAATCTCTTACATCAATATGGATCAACACACATTGATTGCATTGAAGAGAGCAGAACACATCCTTCCTGCCAGCTTTGGTATTATTCCTGGTAAAATGGGAACTCCAATCCTTGTCCTGCTACAGTGTACAATGGTCAGTGGATCATATATCTCCTCTCTTATATAAACAGGGACCAAGAAGGTCAAATCTGAGATTCTGGGATCGTAGGATTGTAAAATTTGAAGGCCCTACGAAAACATGGAGGGGTTACTTCCTCTAGTTCAGCAATATTACAACAGTATTAGAATTGAGGAAAACTGAATTGAAGGGAGTTTTAATGGATTTTTATAATTCTCTCAAAAGCCACTGTTGCTATAATAAGGCACATTTAATGGAAACCATATGGATGACCAGAGGTCTGAGTGTAGAGGGGGATAAATGTGTTATTGCGACTATATTGTAATTAAGCACAGATGTCATTAATACTGTCAGTTATATACAAAATAAAACACCCTTTAGTGTATAGAGTTGTGACGTCTGCATACTTGTTCCAGATTAGCAACAAAACTACTGAACCCAGAGACAGCCAAGCAACTAGCATTTTTGGAAGGAGAGGACAACAAAGGAAGGCTCCATATTTTTTTCATGAAAGGTTTCCTTCATTGTTCTTGGACAAAAAGTAAAGCAGTGTGGACCAGGGGGACCTCTTGCAGACACGTAGCTAAGACTGAGGAGCCAGTGTCTGGAGGAGAGGTATAATCCATAGTGATAGGACAACTTTATTTCTTATGTCCAATCTCCCCTGGGCAGGGAATACCCCAGAGATCTATCATGCCCTGCCTTCACTGCAAGGAATGATGGGAGAGAAGGTAAGAAACCGCTAAAACTACAAAAATAAAACTATATGTTAAGTCAGTCAGTGGCATATCAAATCCATCAACCAAAACACCCAACAAGAAAAGATAAACCATAGTTCTACTCGAGTATTTTCGCATATCCTCTGCGTACCTTAGGCGCCTCTGACACACCACCACCTTTGGGTTTTTGCAAAACTTCTACCATATGACATACTATTATGGCACAGACATTGGCACTCATTATCTTCATAGTTCTGTTTACCTAAATGGCAGCTCAAGTTCTTCATTCCAGTTGGGATTTGGTCCATCGGCTGTTGAGGTCTGACATACAGTACGCTGAAATGAAACTTCTACAAATGGCCGGACCAGGACCTGAAATATCACAGGATGTAATACGTTTCTACCTAGAGCTTATTTAAGGTTCAACTCCAAATTGTTCCACAAAAGAAAAACATCACAACCCCTTTTCCAAAAATGATCTGATTACCTTGTACCTCCATCTGATTTGAGGCAAAATAGAAAGTCTTTACTATGGGCAACTAACAGTCTCTTAACTTTAAAAAAAAATATTTACATGTGTTGATAATTGAGCAGGTACTTTGTTTTCTCTCAGATATATGTTAATCAATACATTGCTTATATAATGTAATAGAAAAAAAAATCAGATAAAAACCTACCAAACAAAATAATGTCATAAAATGTGTCTAACATCGGAGAAAAAATATCTGGCATATAGTATTTCTCTCAAGACATCAAATGTATACTTAAAATATAGTTCCCACTTTAGTGTTATAGATGTATAGATCCTCCTAAACAGTTCTACAAGTTCTACCTGTTCTTGATATGTTGATAATGGTACGCACTTATCTAAAAGATGTGTACAAGAAAAACACAGCTGATCAAGTTCTGCTTCCCCATGCTCCCTCACTGCTCCATTGTTAGGTAAGAGCCCTCGATAAATATCATGATGGCAATTTATCAAAACAGGAGCAGACAAAATCTGGAGCAGTTGCCCGTGGCAACCAATCAGCTTCTCTCTTCAGTTTGTTCAGTTAAGATTTGAAAATGAAGCTGATTGGTCACCATGTATAGCTGCTCCAGATTTTGATAAATTCCCCTCCGTGTGTCTATGGGTATGGGGAAGAATGTGACCTCTTTCTCCCCCTCCAAGGATGCAGTGCAAGGCCCCGGGCAGCCAGTAGCCGGGTCCAAACATTGTTACAAGAGGGAGGGAAGGAAGTCATTAATCCTGTGTATACCAAGTGACTTATGCAGGGTTCGGAATCCCATGGGGGAAAGGTGCCATGAGGTAGTACACGGAAGAGAAATATCAGTGGGCGGTAGATTGTTCTTTCAACAGAACCTGTCACTATGCCCTGACTGGAAAAAGTGAACATGTCTCTTTAAGGAAGTGATGACTGGTCATTAAACCAGAAAAGTATTCAGAGGGCCACAAGTTAGCTTAGAACATAACCTGTCATTAGGTCCCCCTAACGGTCAAAACATGCAGAAATAATCATATGAAGTGTAAGAAAACTCCAACAGTGAGCTTCTCCCATTTGCTACCTTTTAGTCTTGTAAATATAACATTGAAAGTGTTTAGTTATATTTGTTCAATAAGTGATTTGTTCCATCCTGCCAGAAAGCAGAGGTGTCCTGTAAACATTTTTAATTAGCTCTCCTAGTTCTTGGCCTTGGACCACAGAATAATTAGTCTTTATGTTGTAAGGATGAGGAGAGTGGGAAGGTTTGAGCAGTTTATCAGAAGACAACTGAGAAGGGCTGACACCAATCAGTCCACAAAAATGCTGTTTGTTGTCAGTCCACAACAGGACTTAGGAGCTGAGTGAATTTCTGGCAAATCATTAGGCACTTTTCTATTATTGCAGGGTGTTTAAAGGGATAAAACATGGGGAAATAGGCGTGTATGGAAGATGCATGGCATATGCTGTTTTTTCCCAGACATCCACTTTACAAAAATTATTATTCCAAGCATAAATAGCTCCATTCAAAAACTGGCCACGCTGCATCTCTCATTCTAACAGGAACAAAGCAGATCTACAGTAATAATATCTGAGATCAAATAGATGTACAGCCATTTAAGAGAAGATGTGACAGCTCATGTAGCTCCTAATGGCCACCTGCTTTGGTGCAATGAAAGTGTCCTCTGACCTTACTAACAGTTTCCTTCCATGTGTAAAGATGTGCCATAAGGCAGCAATAGTCACAGCTCACCAAAGATAAGTTAGATTATACCAAAATGACATCATTATTTTCCAAATGTATATAACTATGTGAAATTTTAAAACATTAGGCAATGTATGTACATCTGCCATCTGAGAGAAGAACCTAGGCTGCTATTGCTGTCCTGAAAATACTAGCAGCCTGGATGCCGTGCTGATCCTGACGTTTCAATACTTTGTACAGAAAATGATAGAAATAAGGAAATCTGAGTTTTCTCTGGTTTTCACCTGCAGCATGCTTAGTTTGACCCTGTGATCCTGAAGCATCAAAGCTAGACATATCCAGGCAACTAGAATTTTTAGGTGACCTTCAACCTTACTTATAAGCTGTATATATTTTACAAGAAACATTGACATTGTATTTCTGGCAAATGTTGTACCTGATTAACTGACCACTCTGGAGACGGGGCTTGCCCTTGAGGGGAAGCTGTGGTTGTAAACATCTCATTAAATGATCTTGAAGATCTGGATGGCTGTGCTTGTTTGCTATAAAAGAATATTTAATGAGAAGATTGTTCAATGGGAGGAAAGGAGGGAGAAAGTGACGTGTGGATAGGTAGCACTATAACAGAGTTTACAACATGATACTTACATATACAGATATAAGATATCTAAGATATGAATACAATTCTACTATGGTTAGGGGGTGGTGGGTATAGTAAACACTAATACTAATGCCTAAGCTAAAATAATCACTTATGTAAAACAAAAATACAAAAATGTCCCAATAATCAGCCCCCATCACGAATCCAGAGCTGTCACTGATTTATGTAACATTGAAAAGAATTACTAAGAAACAGAACATTCATTGACTTCCCTGCTCTGGAGAGAATCCAGGTAAAGGAAAATAACAGCAAGAAACTCATTTCCTGCTCAATTCCAGGCAATAAATCTCCAGGGAAATGCTGTACAATTCAGATTAGAATACGGCAAAAAAAAAAACACAAGGCAAGCAGGGTTATTATGGTATACGGCTGTATGTCTGTCTTTTTTATATGTGGCTGTAAATCAACAAATCATCTGAACCAGAAGAACCATGGTCTGTATACTGAGGAACAAATGTGAAGATCTCACTATAGGTTCCAAAACCTGTACTCTGACCACATGAATGGCATAGAAGGGGCAGCTCTGAGCTCAAACAACTGACCATCAAGTACAGCTAGTCAGACATTTAATAGCCGTTTGCCATAAAAAGAATGGTCATACTATGCTTCATGGGTAAGCATTAATGTCTACAGTATGGTGTTACGCATCTTTAGTTCGGTGGTGTTTGATATAGGTCGGGACCTGACTGCAGGAACACCATTATTTTGGTCATTTGCTGGTGGTAAGTAATACGGGAAGTATGGATATGCATTTACCTCACAAGGCAGAAGGGGTTGCTAAAGCTTTCGTGGCCATTTTGGGGAATGTTCTAGCCTTATGCTCAGTGCTGCATTGGTGAGTTTGGGATGGGGATGGAATGGAAGGAAGCCAGGGACACATGCATATCGCCAATGTAGTGCTGGTGGGTAATGTGATAACTTATGCTTAGTGAATAGCACAATGATCTTGCAATGTTCCTCTCCTCGGTCCAATCCCAATCAGACTACTATCTACAGTATATAAGGCTTGTTTCACTATATTTTCATGGATTTGTTCAAGAAGTTAAGAGTTTCCTTCCACAGAACCAAAAATATATACATTATACAGATTAATTGGCTTCCTCCCCCGTGTATGGGTGTAGCCGCATAACTGGCTTTAGATTGTAAATGTAACCAATGGAAGGTACTGGTGTTAATGCTTCAGATAATCGGAAAAACTCTGGAATACATTAGCTATACTACAGTAGTGCACACCTGAGCAAAGATTGGGAACTGGAGCAAATTCAAATGCAATCTTACAGTCCATCAAAATGGTACCATCATAATGCTCATTTGTATGCCCATCCCACTCATGTTTGAACACTCCACTCCATTATAACGCATCATCTGTGTTTTATGTGCTTCCATAATAAAAGGTGAAGAAAATCTAATCCTTCACCTAGTTCTCACATTTGTCCAATGTATGTCTTCTGAGCGTACTCCAATTTGTTATGCTTTGTATTTATTATTATGTGACAAACTGCACCAAATATACTTACTATCCAAACTCTCTTACCTAGATGTCGGTTTCCTAACTGGAACGTCATAAGCACGGATGACATTCACTAGGACCTTGATATCCCCATCAGACAGATTCTGAGCAGTCACCTTCTTCCTCTCTTTTCTCCTTGGCTTCAGGGGACGTTTCGGCTCAGCTAGCTTGAAGAGGTCCATTCCTAGAATTCTGATACATTGATGTAGTATGTTAAATCTCAGAACGTTTCACAAGAACTAGTTCTGCTAAACATCTACGTACACAGAACACTCCTCAGTGACGTTTTCCAGAAATGGTATGGAAATTGTATTATTACCTGTGCTAGAGGCTAATGCAAAAGGCAGAAAAATGGCATGCCCTCTGACTGATAAAATGTCAAATTGTATAATACAATTCTGTATGCCATGAACCCGTTTGCCAACCAAACTTCAGCCAAACTTTTTATTGCTGGCTAATTCCCATTAGTGATATTTCCACTCACTTCCTGTTCTGCTGACAAGTTGTCACAAGGACACAGAGACAGAATCTCCCTTCAATGTGGACAAAGAAAGAAACCAAAAAACATTTATTTAGTAGAGTGTTAGTAGGGCCAGTAGTGGGGATTGGCATCAAAGCCATAGATCCTCATTTGTGAGATTGGAGCATTATCTACAAAAAGGATATTGGGATTGAGGCCACAGAACCTCATTTGTGAGGATGGGCATTGCTCACAATGAGGTGATTAGCATGTGGTTCATAGTCCCTTTGTTGAGGCCTGGTCATTGTCTGCAATAAGTAGATACACATTCAGGCCATAGAGCCTTGCTTATGTGACTAGAACATTAGCTACAATGAGGGGTTCAGCATTCAGGCCACAGATCCTTGTTTTTGAGGCTGGGACATTGTTCACAATAAGGGGGATCGGCATGCAACCCATAGATCATCGTCTCTGAGGCTGAGGTATTGTCTACAATAAATCTATCAGCATTTAAGCCACAGATCCTTGTTTTTGAGCCAGGAACATCGTCCACAATAAGGGGAATGGCATTCAGGCCACAGATCCTTATTCATCAAGCTTGGGCATCATCCACAATTAGGGGATCGGCACTGAGGTCATAGATCCTGGTTTGCGAGCCTGAGACATTTTTGACAAATAGGTGATCAATATTCATGCCACGGATCCTTGTTTGTAAGGCTGGGTCATTGTCCACAATGAGGGGAATGGCATACAGGCCGCAATGTAGATAATTTTTTATGAGGCTGGGTCATTGTACACAACAAGGGGATTGGCATAAAGCTTGCAGAATATTATTCCTTATAATGTAATGTACTAGTCTATACTAGACGTTGGATAAGTAATGCCATTGTCTATTGCTTTTACACATATTTCTTGTGTTTACATGTTTTCCTGGTTTCAATTATATTTTATTATGTAACTAATAGGCTCATGAAGCTCTTAAAGTTAGCAGTTCATCTTCGCCAATACTATATTAAATATTACTCATGTTAATTATTTTGTTCCAGAGACGTCAGTGAGGAATGCACTGTAGACCGACACTGTGGTTACTAGTGTACAAACCTTTACCATAAAGTTAATGAATATTAAAGATACAAGATCTGTTTAGATGGCTCAGTGAGAATAACATTTAAGGTGCCTCTGTCCTGTGACTAGCACTATGGGAATCCATTTTGCCCCAACGTGACAGAGTCCCTGTCATAGAGTGACCCCAGTTGGTTGACACATTACTGTGAATTGCGCTTTGCTTTCAGCATAGGAGGAATGAAGAGGTGAGAGTGAGAGAGCGTGTGAGAGAGAGAGGGGGGGGAGAGGGGGAGAGAGAGGGG